CCCCCCTGAATTTCCCATCAGGCATTCTCAGACCGAAAGGCTGTTTTTGGTGGAGTTGAGTTTGGGTTGAAAGGAGCAAGTAGGGAGAAGCATTATTTATCCCTTTTTTAGATCAACCCAAGAAGCAATGTCTGCACTTGCAGGTGGAGACAGAAAGAAGTGGGACTGGTGTGCGGGAGAGGAGGTGGCTGAGGAAAAGGGACAAACCGAAAGGTGATGGCTGGGGGCTGCATGACTCCAAGACTGGCCTCAAGGAGTCATCGGGAGCCCAGTGAAGATGTTGGAGAAGAGGCGCTGAGCCCCCCTCCCCAAGTTCCCAAGACTGAGGCATGCATTGGGACAGAGATAGGACTTTGTGCCCAGCCCCTACTCACCTCCTAATTATGCCTATAGGACTTATAGACACCCGGATCCCAGATATGTCATTATAATTGTCTATAGAGGAACTGAAATACGTGCCTCCTCCATTCCCATACATCTCTAGATGGAAGAAAGAACCAGGTGAGGGAGAGAGAAAAAATTACACAGTAATATATCGGTTATCTTTTTGCAGAACTGGATGAAGCCCCTCCAGGCAGATGGGACGGTCCTGAGACTAGAGTTAGTCAAGGGCCGAACCCAGACCCAGGGGGATGGGCTGGAGGGAGGCAGACCCAGACACTTACGATCTGCCCAGCAGGTGGTGCTCCACAGGATGGTAAGGGTCAGCCACAGCAGCATGGTTTCTGGCTCCCGTGTCCCAAGGCTCCTGGAAAGAAGGGACAGGACACCAGGCTCTCAGAGAAGGGCCCTGCCTGACCTGGTCGGCCCCGTCCATGGGAGGGGAGCACCGCCCTACCTGGCCAGAAAAATCTTGTCGCCCAATCCTGGCGCTGGGGAGACTTGTGCCTAGGCACCCTCCACCTGGCCTTTTATACCCCAGGCCTTGTGGGCCCCCATCCAGAAGGAAGGAGAAGGGGACACCCCGAAGACAGATCGGTGGGGGCTCTTCCTGGGGGAGGCTCCCGGATGGACATGCTGTGT